ATGAGGCAAGTCAAGTCACAGTTGATCATCATGAGTCAAGTCAAGTACAAACTGATCTTCATGAGTCAAGTCAAGTCACAGTTGATCGTCATGAGTCAAGTCAAGTCACAGCTGATCTTCATGAGCCAAGTCAAGTCACAGCTTCCATTCCTGAGTCAAGTCAAGTCACAGCTAATCTTCATGAGTCAAGTCAAGTCTCAGCTGATCTGCCAGAGCCTCGTCACGTCTCAGCTGTTCGTCCAGAGTCACGTCACGTCACAGCTGATCTTCTAGAGTCACGCCACGCCTCAGCTGTTCATCCAGAGTCTTGTCACATCTCAGCAGTTCGTCCAGAGTCAGGTCACGTCACAGCTGATCTTCCAGAATCTCATCACATATCAGCTGATCTTCCAGAGTCATGTCACGTCTCAGCTGTTCATCCAGAGTCACGTCACGTCTCAGCTGATCATCCAGAGTCATGTCACGTCCTGTCTGTTACACCCAGATTATCAAGGTCAGCCCTTCGGTATCCCAGTCTGGTATCCAGTGTGAGGGATGCACCGCTGGTGTCTGCACGCGCAGCTGGTATCCCCAAACCCACTCACTCTAGCCCTCCTGTTCCTGAACTGATTCCCCTGTCTATATACAGTATATATTGTATATATAGGTCAAGCGGCGTGGCATCTATTCATCGAGGTGGTGAAAGGTCTACTGGGGTACATACCAAAATTTCAACAGGTCCTTCAGTACACGTACATGGCAGGGTTCGATTGGGTTAATGTCAGGTGAATTTGGAGGCTAAGGCATTCACAGCAATTCAGCATCATGTTTCTCAAATCAAATCAGTGCAGCATGGTGCATTATCCTGTTGGCAATGGCCATTACTGGCAAGGAACAAAGTTGCCATGAATGGGTGCATTGGTCTGCAATAACATTCAAATACCTGACAGGTGTCAGTGATTGTGCCCACAGGCCTGTGTCTGCACAACAGTGCATCCAGGTGCCATATCTGCTGTTGGTTATCGTCATATCCACGCTTGGCCATCGACTTGATGCACCAGGAATCTTGATTCGTCAGACCAGGCCACTTTCTTCCAATCATCCATGGTCCAATCTCGATGCTCAATGATCTTGAGCCCATTTCATGCGTTGTTGGTGATGGCATGCAGTTAGCATGGGGACCCGGCTGGGTCATTGGCTACGCAGGCCCATACGCAGAAGTCTGCAATGAACTGTGTTCTTTGACACATTGCCCTGGTCACCACTGTAGTAGCTGCTGGTGATTTGTCACACTGTGGCCTTGTCGCTGTGAACAATACGCGACAGCCTCCACTCCTCAGTTGTGGATAACACACGGCTGGAAGACGGTTCGTCATTTGGCCATCCGTGCACTACTTTTAATGCATACTCACAAAAGAGGCATGTGAATAACCCACAAAGTGAGCTGTTTTCGAGATCGAAATTCCGAGGCGCTGTGCCATCACAATCTGTCCTTTATTAAAATCCGATAAATCAGCAGTTTTTCCGTTCTAAAACCAAACACTCTACTGGCCGAAAGCTGGTCCTTGGGTGGTATATATACTGATTTGTGAACTGCACCTGCAACACCATTCGGTTGCCAGCCATACTTATTGCTCTAGGCTGGCGGTGATCATAACATAATGGATCATCACTTAGCAGTTATTGAACTGAACTGTACTGAATAATGACACTACTGTGTTACTAAGTTTATTCTTTAAAGGGGTGGTTCAATGTTTTTTTTCTAGGCTTCATTGTGTTTATGGAGTGCAGTCTAACATGCTTCGTTTTAAAAAAAAATGCATTATTTTTCACATAATTTACCTTTATTCCACACCGCTCTGTCCCTTCTCTTCTGCGGCTCGGTACGCTTTCAACTCGTTTTTTTTTGTCTCGAGTAAGACACTGTATGACTTTCACGTTACATGATTTGACTGACTTTTACATAGAAAGGGCGACAGCGCACCGCATTAAAAGAAATGACATAAGCGGTTTTCATAACCGCTGGCCAAATTCAAAAACTAAACTAAAATTAAATCATCTTTTAGAGCAAGGGGGCCCCCTGGTGTTTCGGGGGCCCTACGCAGCTTGCGTACTTTGCATATAGGGAGGATCGGCTCTGGAATACTTTGTGCACCATTACCTACTGCAACAAAATATATTGGCAAAAATATTTTTTCCTAAACTGAGTTGTCACAATATAAGGAATTAAATGCATAACTGAATGAAATAGTAAATTATTTAATGTGGGGAAACATTTAATATATATATATATATATATATATATATATATATATATAATAGTTTTACTTA